TACACTTCGAAATGTGACGGGAATTAAACCGCTGAAGCCGTTTCTTTAAAAAATCTAGTTGTGTCGAATGTCGACGAGGGTGGACCTAGTTAGACAGTATGGATAGATTCTGGGTAAGTGATAAACGTTAATGGATACTTAAATTTTATTAAACCCAGCCATTAATTTTCGAGATGGCCCGACATATGGGGCGCATAGAACTTGATTGTGCGCCCTGAATTCCCGGCAAACAAATCATCAGTTTGTACTAACTTTTCTAGAATAATTTTGTTTAATTTACAATACTTACGAAAAAGTTTATGTTTATTATACAATTTCAGCAACGCAACTATGCGATAATAAAAAAATTTATTTCATGAAGATATACGTATCTGTCAGCGATATCGTGATATCGTGCGGCATTGCGGTTAGTTTTCTGCCGTAAATCGCCTGATCGCCAGCAAATTAGCATCTTCGAATATGTTTGTTACAAAGAATTCCGATGCCTCCTGCACGTATAAAACAATTATTTTATTATCAACCCAAATATTTAACAGTAAGGCGAGGTGAGGCGCATGGCAGCCACGGGCCCACGATTAAGTGTGTTTACCGATCATCATTTACGATCATCGACATGAGTGGCGATATACGAGCAGATCGCTTCGCGAACTCAGATCACGAAGGACAGCTGCGTACTGTGAAAGGTAGTCGTAGAATTGACCGCAAGCGATTGCAAATCTATGTTAGCTGCGCTGTTTCCTCTTGTCACCCTGTCGTTCCAATTGAATACTTTAGTCGAAACCGGAACCAATAGCGCACGGTTCGCATATAGAATATATTCCAGTCACTTTTTCGGTGAAAAATGATTGCATGACCTTTGGATACATCGTAGCAGCCAAAGTAATACAGGAACTTTTGAAACCAGAACTTTTCTTCTGGTCGCAGTATGTCTTTGCCGATGGCTTCCCGTCCCAGGTAGTATTCATAAACTGTATTACTTGGCAGTGTGCTTGTTAAATAGTTCCACGAAATCGTTGGATTCGTCCGTGACAATCGTGAACGAACCGTTACATGCACTCGTTCACCGTTTCACGGCTACAATTGGGTGCATTAATATTATTTACAGGAAGATTGCGGATAACTTTCATAAGAAAGTTATAAAGTTTGAGAAAGATGTGTTTACCTGGTATCGTGGAAGGCAAAAATTCTATTTTATCACCACGCTCTTCTTCAAGGTGTCTGACAGTGTTCGGAAAATTGTTATAAAACGTGGGAGATTTCCCTGCTATGGCAGGTCCCAGCACGAACAGCTGAATGCCTGCATTGAATTCAGCGTTTCGTCCTCGGAGAACGGTCTCAGAAATGCTCGATCATTCCTTAGCGCTGACGTCAGCGCCATTAGCGATGCAAACACCACCATAGGAGTGGTTTGATATTTTATAGCCTCCGAAACGACATACTGCCACAGGTCTTCAGGTATAAAGGTTTTGGGTTAGAAGGCTGCATGATTTGTGGCGTGCACATGAACAGGCACTGCGTCTTCGTCTTTGGGCATTGTGGCACTTCTGTGATACAATCAACATACTTAAGTAAGTACATATATATGAAATACTCCGCGCATTCGGCGTCTCCAGTAAAAGGGTTGGTCTAAAGCAATTCTGAGCGCAGCTTTGATACATCAACAGCAGACAGGTTTGTGAAATCATCATCCGGTGTCATTAGCTCGTACAAATCTGGTCAATACAAGTCTGCAGCAGACAAGGTAAAGAAAAAGGTCACTGATAATTAAAGGACGGCATTTTCATTGATTTTACTATATTAGTTAGTTCACCGCTTCGCTTTGTCCGAATCTCCGATATGCGCGAGTTCCTCTAAGGTTTGATCCAAAATTTGTGGTTTGGTTTATTAGATTGGCGTTTCCTATAATCGGTGGCGCCAATGGTAATCCCACGCGTAGTGCGTTTTCGCATGGAAATTTGCCCAACTCGTAGAGCTGCCATTTTTTAAGGCTGTTCAGTGTGGAAAAGCGAAATGTGGATGCTAAGCAAATCTTCGGTCCCGATATCGCATGTGGTGCTTAAACTATTCGGCTTTTGTAGTCTTTTCCCCTTAAATCGCTAAGTCCGCATTTCCTCAACGAAAAAGGCGCTGTACCCGACTCTGCCTGAAACTCGTCAACCGGTTCAGTAGAAATAGCAGGTACGGCACAGTAGGAACGTCGACAACAGCATTTAGTGTCCTTAATCTCCATACACTGTAGCCGTGTAGGGACATTGCTGTTCGTTGAAATGTGCGACAGCGCTTCTTCGTCAATGGTTTTGTCACGATACCATGGGCTACAGGCTATGGCGACGCTGTAGCGTTCGACGAATTCTAACTGCAGAAATATTGAAAGTGGCATAGTTGCCGGTGTCGAAGCGATTCACAATGCTAACGGAGAGGAGCGGGACGGATCCATTTATGCATTTGCAGCAAAAAATCCTTAATGCCGCTCTCTTTATTGCTGAAAAGCTGATGGGCTACTTGTTCAAAGTCGTCGCAATTCAGAAAGATGTTTTTTCTACTTTCGCGCAGTACAGGAAGATCTTTTTTCTACTGCCTGAAGAGAACCAGCAAATCCTCGTATCGCATAAATCCGTTTACAGCGTTGCCTGTGCAGTGCGGTCTAGTGTACGCTAAGCCGGATGGGGCAGTTTTGTGCCTTTAGGGCCAAGTCGCCCTGACTGGCCACCGTGATGCTGCAGTATGATTTGTCCATTATGACGGACTGCGGGTAATGTACGCTGACTGGAGAGGTGGGCCGGAGAGCTTCGTTCTCATCGTAAATCAAATCACTGGTGTCACGACATGTTGGAACGATCTGCGAGTGGCCCAGAATTTTACAGCCGTAAAAACTGTAGCAGTGCCATCTCCATTCTCGTGAACATCTCCACCGTGTTTCCTCAAGAACTATCGAATGTTCGCCGTGTCTTTCGGCTGATAGATTTGCCACACGGTACCCGGCACACGACCTTCACTAAGTCGTTTCCTAGTTGCAGAATAAGTGCGTGACTGAACAAATTCTTACCTTTCGGATGTACCAAACATGTTTCCGCTGGAGCTCGTGCGGTCACCACCGGAACGCTTCATTCAGATCGGTACAGGAGTTGCGCTGCCGGGTAGAAGCATGCCGTTCTTCCGAGGCTAATCGGCCGACCGCCGCCTAGCGTGCGCTGTATATCACGTGCATCTCTTGGCCGATGTCGGTGCTAATATCAGCGATATCTTTTTTGCTCCTTTGATTCCGCGTTGGAGTTCTAAGTAGGTACTGACCGGTCCCGCATCAGTTCGAGGAATACCCACAGCTGCATAAATAAATATTTATAAATCATCATTATATTTATAATTCAGATTTATTTGAGAAAATTTAATAAACCAAATTTTCTTCTAGTAACTCAAATTGTTTGGCCGTACTCGTACCCTGTAAGGCATGCGTATTCTAGTAGGTCGTCTCCTACTTGACTAAGCATTTTTCGGCTGACGCCTGTTATAAATTGTCTTCCGCTGGCCTAATCCGCTTTCACGTTTGCACTTCTTAACAAATTCTCCTTACGCTAGTTACGCTTTCTAAAACCAATTCAGACCTGCAGTTTGCGCATTTAGGACGTGAAATCAAAGCAAAGCTGAAGTGAAATGTCGTGGTGAGATTTGTGTAATACAAATACAGTTCAGTGAAGGAAATTAACCTGCTGTTGACGACATGTGCAGCATTTTGCTAAGGGAACCCAACGATGGACTAACTAAATTTGTTTGCATTTGGCCATAAGCGCAAATTATCCTGCCGGACCATGTACGACGCTGCTGATATATTTATTATAAATCACAAATTGATCGTATCTCACACGCTTTCCCGTTCTTAGCAGCGCTTGCGCGGCTTTTGGAGCCTCACAGCGTTTGCTAAGGTCTGGACGGTCGTGGTCTTTATTACCTTGGCTAGCACCCTGCCAATTTGCTCATCGTTCTAGAAAAAAATGATGATGTGCGACATTCGTACATTCGGAACGACTGTTTTTCTATCGTAATGCAAACAATGCTCTTGTGTCGCCAGGCTCACCCTTTTGACGTAACACTAATCTCTTAAAGTATGTAGAAAAACATACAAGAAAAGCAAAACGTGAAGCGCTATGAGTATTTTTGAAGATCAGGACACCATTTACGCAATGCCCTTTTGAGTTCGCTCGGATTTACTGACCATCATGTAGGCAGTCGTGATGTACTCTAGATTTTTTTATAAACATCATGTAGTTTTAGAATAATCTTCCGTCCTATATGCGTCGTACATGAATTCTACAAACAGACTGTTGGCTAAGTATGCCTATTACGTGAACAAATTAGCACCTCGATTAATATAAAAATTTAATGCATTTGTCTATTGGTACGTACTAAGTACCTTACCTAGCAGTTATATTTTTATTGTACAAGCTTATTTTTGTAGTACTCACGTAACAACCGGAACGTTCGCATTATGGTGTTATCACGGACCGAATTTACAGAAAATATTCTCTACAGTGTATTTGATCTGCTTTTTGATCCTCGGCTTGCGCTGTTATTAATCGTGCAATAAATCTGAACTATGTATTTCCTTAAAATAATTTACTCTTGTTAGCAGTCTTGCTTATCAACAGTTTTCATGTTGGAAGTTTATTGTATAAATTCAGTACACAGAACTATTAACCATTCCAGCTACTTATTCCCGCCGCGCGTTAAGCTTTTAATACTTACAACTCGCCAGTGCTTGTATATCTATCCACATTTCAGAGACAAAATATGTAAGGTTTTGAGCCATCCAGGTGAGCACCGTGCACTGTGAGATGTAACCCATGATAAAGATTTGAGTAAGCAACAAGCTACTAAATAGTATAACAAGTAACGACTATTTTAAAATTAATTATCTTCTAAAAAATCTGATACGATGGCTGATAATAGCAAGTTGCTGCTCGTTCAAATTACTCGTTCTCATATGTACACCGATATCAATCGGTTAAGCCGGTAGTTTTGTTAAAACAGTGACCACACTATCCACTTTCGCACTCTGACATTTGTTTTTGCGAAGAAAGTTCGTGTTTTTACGAAGCACGTTAAAAAAAAATAAAGGGTACCGGGTTGAAAAATGCCGCTGAAATATTTTGTATTCAAATTTCTGTTTTGGTTTTGCACTATTGCCTTCCCGCACGTAACCGCCGGTAAGTCTCAAATCTCCACCCATGTCTTAAAACTTGATTTACACTTGTGCTAGTTACCGGGAAAAGCCTTAAACGTACCGATACAAAGCTTAATTTTCAGAAGACGACAACCTTCTGCCGAAGTTTTCCCTTGAACCATTAAGCTTCGAGCAATGCCGACTGCAGTTTACCGACTTCTGTCGACCATGGCAACACCATTACGATTACTGCACCGGTTTCAAAGGTCTGGCCATTCGGTGCAGTGGGCCCAACATTTCCGAAAGCCAGCTATCGGACATAGCCACGGCTATATCCCAACCGCCACTGCGGGCGGTCCACGTCCAGCTTCCGGATGGGGCGTATATTACTCCGTTCGCCATGCGCCCTGTCCAAAATCAGACGGTTATGATCGGGGTTGAAGACTGCGTGGATGCACAGGTTACGAAACGACTATTTCATCTGCGACTGCATAATCTGCTACAACTTCGTCTGGAGAACTGTTACAACTTAGTACTAGACAAGGCGGACTTTCAGTGGAACCACCAGATTCGGATTGTCAGGTTCACCGCAACAACCATCGCTTCGTTGGAAGCAGGGACATTCACCGATTTGCCGGCGCTCAGTATTTTGTCGTTGGAGTTTTTTGGTCTGTGGGCTGGGGATTTAACCCAGGAGCAGAAGGATTACGCCCGAAGGCTCCATTGTACATGCGAGTTTGCCTGGTTTCGCCGCTGGCTGGATGCGAAACCGACACTGTTGCGCCACGTCAAAACCGGTGAAGTGATCAGGATAGACGAATCGTGGGAGAATATTGAGTCCACGCGCGAAAGCATGTATTTTCCAGTCGACTGCAATCAGACAGAAATTCCTAATCCCGAGCATATGGATTACGACAACCAGCGTCAGTTCTCCATTAACGAACCGGCTTGCGGCTAATGCGCGTGATTACACTGGGTCACAGGCCAAGCAACTGCTAGCGTATTAATCTCTTTAAATGCTGCTTGTAACTTGAAGCCACGGTTAGCGGTTTTGCTTTGAGGAAATCTTGCTGCCGTGAGGATTTTTTCCTTCCTGGATAAACTATTGACCTTTTGAGTACTAAGTGAAAACTCGCTCTTAAATTTTCGTACGGGTTTATACCGTTTATTTCAAATCCTTATTACACTTCACCAAAGATTAGATGCTGAAAAAAGGACGTCTGCGGAATACCAATCGTATACATATCGGACGATGTGATCGAACTCAGCCAAGTCAAAAACGAAGAACTTACTAGGCCAAACAAATTCACTAAAACACGTGCTTTATCATATACAATGTCTAATTATTTGATCAGTACATCGATCTAATCTGTATCTTAATTTTAAGGGGTTATATATATTGTTGAAGAAATAACTCCCAGTTTTGTTTATATCTGTGCATTAAAAACGATACTCAAAAATTTGCGCGTTATTCATGCACCGATTGTTTGTAAAAATGTATTTCGTAACTAATAATGTAAATTATATGATAACTGAAACATCTGTTAACAGTTTAAACTGTATCGGTATTGATACCCATATCGGTATTGGCCGTCAGTGCAAAAAAAGAAAAACCTTAGTAAATCTTATAAAATGGCCAGATGGCAGAACACCAAACACAGGAAATAATTTATAATGGATATAGTTCGTATCCGTCAGTGGTTGAAGCGTTTGGAGTGCTTTAAGCGAATTACTGTATTTTATGCGCTAAAACATTCGGAATTTACAAAACATTGCAACACTTCTGTGCTTTTGGCTTGCCTGTTTGTGACAGGAAACGTCACGCCCGTGTGAGTTCATTGCCTTCTAACCCAAGGAAGGATGGGCACATTAAAAAGTTTTGAACGTTCAGAATTTGAATAATGATGTAGGTACAAAAATAAGTAGTATCGCAGCGGCTTCCTTTATGTAATTGTAATGCGCTCATCGTATATCCTTTCAGTACGGAACAACAAATGGGCCCAACCTTTCCTTTTCGCGTTGGCGTGGGTGCTGCAAACTTCCCACTGGTGTCTCACATGACGTGCTACAGACAATCAAGTGCGATCCACCGGGTATTCGTGTGCAGTACACTAACTGTTAAACAAGCCGTAGCGACTCCCAAGAAATGGAGTACCCACCAAATACGACGCTTTCTAGAAAGTTAAGCGTAAAAGCCTCAGCAGTATTTGTAGTGTAGTGGTTACGCGCCATATTAGCGCGTAGCAACCCGCATGGCTGTGTTGACCTGTAGAGGACGCATTTTATGTGGTACTACGAGTATTTCATTATTCAGTATCTATCCGGCCAGAGTGGCACAATAAACATCTGTGCCAAGACGTGACAGTATTAATAAAAATTTAAATAACGGACAAGCGATGCATTCGACCCTGTGAAAGTTCTACTAAATTTACTTCAATTAGGAAAATTATTATCTGGTTGTATAATCAGTAATTTTGTTTAATGCGCCCATCTGAAACGTTTTTAGCATTTTTATGTAAAATACATTTGAATGCGAACATCGTTACGTATACACCTCTTACGGACAGTGCTTAGTATGTTATCCCTTATCCGGTATCAGATGGCACCGAATGGGTTTATTAAAGAAGAAGAGAGCCTACGTAACCACTAGAACAACTGCCCCGCGGCATCAACAGGAAAAGACTCTTACTGGTTTAAAAACGGATGACAGCGTTGATGCGCTGCATGATACGGCGTTTATAGCAGTAAAAACACGTACAAGCACACACAGTATGATGCAAAAGCACCGCGTATTAGACGCAATTATGCCAGTAAGCCAGTAGTTTCCGGGTTGGGTACATAGGTAATTCACGTTCATCACATCACGGAGCGTGCTGCCTGTGGGAGCCGGATCGGGACCATCTGCGGCGCTAATTGGACAGGACAACGCTTATACCTTGACAATTATCTTGTCGGCAGCGTCAGGTAGTGTACGCTGATGCGCAGAAAGACGTCGCGCCGCTACGGAAATACTCCCTGATTGCCGGCATACCGTGCTGTTGAAACTCATACGCATTACTGTTCCTTAATCGCAACTGGTGTTGTTTGACTGGCTACGAAAGGTCACAGTTAACAGTTGAAGTTATTTTATTCCGTATAGCGAACCATAATGAACAGCAGTTTAAATCTAACTGGGAACAGGAACGCCACAACGGAATGGGATTCTCACGGAAGTTTTTTAACCTTCACCGCCATCACGTTAATTTTCAACGTAGGGATGTTGGTGATTCTCCTTAAAGACAAAGGCATCCAAGCCTCGTTTACCGTATATATGGTGGGTTTGTTACTTAGCAATATCCTGTACACCGGACTGGTTAACCCCACCGAAATCCTCCGTCAAGTCCACGGCGATCTGTGGCTGGGGAAACGCGGCTGTGATCTGCGCACTGCAAGCGAATGGATCTTCTCCGCCATCACGAAACATTCCCACCTCTTGATCACCCTCAACCGCGGCTGGGCGTTGGTGTTCCCACTGAGTTACAAAGAGAAGCATACGATCACGGTGGCCTGTATGATCTTCGCCGGGATGATCGTGTACGTGCTGGCGTTGGTGTTGCCGGGTGTAATATTAGATGCTCTGTATTATCGCCACCCGTTGAGCGAAGGGTGTGGATTGAACACGGACGCCCAGTTCACCTGGTCAGTGGTGATTCAGTTCGTTATCTTTGATTTTCCGGTGGTCTTCATCGCCGGGAGTTATCCGTTCCTGCTGTGGATGCATATTAAGCGCAAGAAACGGAGCATCCGCGTAAAGGATAGTAAAGCCAATGGGACTCAGATGACGGATTACAGCGATAAGAATGCTATATTGAAAATCAACCAGAAACCGAAGGAGAAAAAGAATAAGTCGAAACCGTTTGTGGTGCTGACGCTGCTGACCACCGGGACGGTTATTTGCTGGACGCCGACGATGGTGTACTACACGATTGCCTGCTTTACATCCACGGCGAATATGGGACAGTTTTTTAATGTGGCGATTTTTGTGTATTCACTGCAAGGCTTGCTGGACCCGGTGTCGTTTGCCTTCAGTGTCACGTGGTTTCGGGAATGTTTACAGAAAGGTTGGAAGCAGCTGACGTGCCAGGTTTAATTAGCACTCGGCAACTGCACCGCAGTCCATATGACTGCCGTAATCTTACGGAATTAAAACCGACCTTTTCGTGCAATTTCTTTAAGGCCGCGTACACTTTAACCTCATTATGGAGCGTTGCACTGTAGACTACCGATAAAAGAACCTTGTTTGTTCGTTGTTAAGTGGATTTGCCTGCAAAGAAGTGCCGGTCTGCCATCCTGGAGCTGTTTTCTAGTCATCTTGTCAAGCTGAAGTGGATCTGATCCTGGATGTACTTTTGTAATATCGATCACAATTACGTAGCGCTATAGAATATAACTGTCGTTCCGTCGTTAATTTTGTACTACGAGTGTAACTAATTTATGCAGTTATTGAAGTATACTGTATTTGTTAGTCGGATGCTTCGTCGATCTTCATCTGAGATTGCGACTTTTCTAAACTATTATTTATTTCTGTATTTCATTACATTTAAATGCAATTTTACTGACCTTTCAGCGCAAACCACTGATGACATTTTGACCACTAGAATTGACACTGCGTGCACTATTTTTATTGTTAAATAAAACAACACATGCAAAATACAGTACCTCAAATAAAGGGGTCTGGTACATCGTACCAGTGTACAAAATTCGTATGGCATCGTAAAACTTCTGCTGTCGCGCACTCTGAAACTGTTTTATCACTTAACTATGCCCTTCTACAGCAAAATGCACCAGTTTTACTTTGTTAGAATACTGGGATTCATCTGATTTGCGAAAAGGTCACCGTAATGCTTTTTCTCTTTCCGGTTCATCCGGAAATACCACTCCTTAACGTTCGATACGTATTTGTGTATCCATCCGGTGACCTGCGTTAATGCAACGGCTGCTGTATTCCTTATACGGATAAAAACAGTTCTGTTGTGGTCGGTTGTTTTGGCCACGTAAAACTGATATTTCAAAGAATAACTGGCCCGCCAGGTTACGGTATTAGTTCACCACACAGCAATGTCGTGCGACGTAAACGTGGGCAGCGCATCTTGATACGCAATACAAACGACTTGAAACGAGCGACGTTGCATTGTGGGGGGGGGGGTGAGTAAGTTTAATGCACAAGTAGCTGGGTACATGGATCGCAGCTGGTTTGTGACGCGCGCTGGCCGTGATCGCGATTATGGTGATATCGTATTATGATCTCTCTGACAAATGACAATAATAGTTGTGATGACACTACTGCATTACCGGGTGCGGCACACAGGAATACTGCGAAAGGCATCAGATCGCACCCACTTTCAAAATTCCACCGGTGATAAGACCATGCCAGTTGAATCTATGAACTCGTGAACACGATCTTGGCCTTACAACAATGCGCGGCTCGCTGAAAATTTATTCATGAATAACTGTGTAGTGTGTGCACAGACTGAAAGAGATTTCTACAAAGCAATTGAAGTGAATCCAAACTAATCGTTCAAAAGGCAACAAAAATTTCCCGGAAATAAACTGCAGCACGCATTTTACCAAAACAGGACTCTTTTCTAGTTGTTGACCGGCCACAGGAACTGTATGCCGACAAGGAAAACTATCCTCGGTGGTTAAACAATTCATCAAGAAATACAGGCCTTTAATCAAGCCAGTCCCTTTCCTGCTCCACATCAGATTAAAAATCTACCGCTCACCAATATTCGCTACCTACCGTGCAGTTTACGTACAAGATGCAGATGTACGCGGAGCAAAATGTCTCTGAGTGATGAACAAAGTGATCGCAAATTTTATTGCCAAGCAGTGCAGATGGAAACAACCAGCGCATCTAAGTGTTGCATACTCATATTATGTGCATAATGATTGTGATCGCTGACTTATCGACTGACTTATTGTACCGAATGCAAGCGGTGTAAGAGAATGTTAACATTTTACAAATTCAAAATATGATCTAGGTGTCAAATCAAATGCTAGTTTTTCGTCGTCAAAAACCGGTTGTTCTTCTGCAGAAATAAGCACAAATGGTTGGAAGCAATACTGTCGCAACGATAATCACTGCCACAAGACAAAGCTAACAACTGCACACTAGATAATCAAATAGAGAGTAAGATGAAAACTAATACAAATTGAAATAAATGCAAAACTTATGAGAAACGACTCACTGTCACTTGAAAAGGTAGCAAGGTGTTAGAAGACTTGAGCAAAGACGTTATCGTGTCTCTTGATGTTGAAAATTGTAACCATTCGTACTTCGAAGTACGTATCTGTACAGTGAGCGCCTACAGTACGGCAACTGTTTGCGTTGTCAGTAGCTCTGCTTTGTATGTAAAAAATCAGTATGATCAGTTGGTACCACCGATTCAAATGCCGTATTGTACAAGCGGGGCCTAAGCGGATATCGTATAAATTTCCTGTTAAAGTACTAAATAATGCAAGTTTTTGATGAATGCAGGCATTGCTGTTGATTATTTCGTTACCAACCGGTTTCAGTAACTTAAGACAACTGACAAAAGCCGAAATTTCCTCCGGGCAAAATTAACTGGCGGAAGCAAGGTATAAACTCTTATGGCAAAATTCTTCCTCTGCCTGCTACCAAGCAGGCCGACTTGGGTACTGCGCCCGTGTACCGCCTGAACCTCGACGCCCTCAGAATGACGGCGCTCACGCTATTCTCCGGCTTCGTTGTCTGCGTAGCAGCATCCATTTCGGCAAGCAGCTTGCCGGACAGTAAGGCTTGAGCGAACTCGACATTCAAAGAGTCCAGCTAGCCTACTTCAACCAAGCCGGTACAAATATTAGCTTTTTGCACCTTACTCGTACGTCGTAGACATTCGCGAGTGTCCTCGTAACTATACGGCAGCGATCGTTTGAATCTGCGGTACCTGTATCCGTAACTTTAAAAAAAAGAATTATTTTCTAATCAAACCGCTTAACTTTCTCTTTTCGCAGTAAAGGGTTTGAGTGTTTATGGCTAAAACTTAAAATTTCGAAGAGAAAAATCATCGTTGGAACTGTTTATCGCCAGCCCGATTGTAATGCAGATGATACGAAAGTTTTGTTTGAACATATGCGTGAGGTACTTTTGAAGTACCCGGACAGCGATCACATTCTTACGGGCGATTTCAACATCGACAGCTCGCCGATGTCTAGCAGCCCGTATCTGAAAGTGTTAACGGAATTTGTTGGTGAATTTTCTTTTGAAGACAAGGTAATCGGAAATACTCGAGTTGCTCAACGCTTGAGAAAGTCTGATAATACCATTTTGACAAGTACCAGTAAAATTGATTATGTTTTATGCAGCCCTAAAAATCTGTACAAGTCCTGTTACGCAGAAGACGTCGATTTTTCAGATCATCGACTGTGCAAAACGGTTTCAGCATACTTTTGCAAAAAACCGGAGCACAAATTTGTTTTTTTTCGCGACTGGAAACACACGAAAATTGAAAATCTTCGAAGTGAAGTCGCCGCGTTTACCAGCAAGTACGCTGATTTTGTTGAGTACAGCGATGTCGATGAAGAAGTGGGCCGTTTTGTTAGTGGTTTGTTTGCAATAATCGACAGATGTTTTCCGATTCGATCAAAAAGAATTTCTCAGAAAGAAGCGCCGTGGTTCATTGATAAAGTTAAAAAGCTGGCCAAAGAAAAAGATGACGCGTATAAACGTAAAAAAATGTCGAAAAATACTCCGGAATACCAGGGTAATAATCGACATTATAAACGTTTGAAGCGCGAACTGTGTCTAGCTATCAAGGACGCTAAACAGAAGTACTTTTCCGAAAATCGCAAAAATTCGGCATTGGTTTGGCGAGAGCTGAACAAGCTGTTGAACAGAAGTAAGCCGAATAATGACGTACCGTTCGATCTTGAGGAGTTAAATAACCATTTTGCTACCATGGGTGAACATGGTGCACAGCACCCGCCGGCTAGGGTACCTGAAGAAAACACCTCGGCATCATTTGAATTTGAGTACGTAACTGCTGAAGTTGTTAACGAGATTTTTGTTAAGATGCTCGGGAAAAAGAAGTGTGCAGGGCCTCATGGAGTACCGCATAAACTTCTACAACAAATTTTCCCGCTTTTGGTTGTGCCGGCTGCTAACCTAATTAACCAGTGCTTTAAGAGAAACACGTTTCCGAAAATATTTAAAATGGCTGAGGTAGTTGCTTTACCGAAGTGCAACAACCCAACAGCCCCGAATGATTTGCGGCCGATTTCTCTGTTGTGTAACCTTTCGAAAGTTTTTGAAAAAGCCGCACAAAGCCAACTGGTTAAATTTCTTAAAGAACATAGTATTTTGTCTCCTAATCAATCGGGTTTTTGCAACGGCCATTCGTGCGAAACGTTACTTTTAAAAGTAACGGAAGCATGGAAAACGGCCATTGACCAAAAAAAAGCAGTCGCGATTCTGTTTCTCGACTTAAAGGCGGCCTTTCCATCTGTCTGCCACGACACACTGTTGAAAAAGCTGCGAAATATCGGAGTTAAATCATCGGCGCTGTCATGGTTTCACTCATATTTAACCGGCAGAATGCAGCGAGTACGGGCCGGCAAACATTTTTCCCGTTGGGTGGAAGTGCGAACTGGGGTCCCGCAAGGGTCCATTTTCGGTCCGAACTTGTTTTCCATTTACATTAATGACTTTCTCCAAACCGACTTTAAAGGCGTGCAACTAGAAAGTTTTGCCGACGACACCATCTGCTATGTCATAGCGGATACGAAAGCGATGGCTGCTAGCAAACTACAAAGTGCACTGCCGGCTATTACAGAGTGGTTCAACAGCAACCATCTCGTAATTAACGTAAAAAAGTCGAAGTTAGTGTTTGTTAATTCTGCTCGCAGTAAAGAAACCGAAGTACCAACAATTGCTTTGAACGGTCATCAGCTTAAAGCAGAACCAGCTGTCAAGCATTTGGGAGTGATAATTGACCAACACTTAAAATGGGCCGAACATTATAATAAGGTCCATAAAAGCGTTAGTCACGGAATTGCCCTCATTAATCGTGCAAAAGACGGTCTGTGTGATTCTCAACGCATTGGGCTTTTTTACGCATTTGTCCAGTCTCACCTGGACTACTGTTCTACTGTGTGGAACGGAGCGTCTGCGTCCTTGCGGGAGAAGTTAGCTGTTGCACAACGAAACGCTGTTCGGGCGATCGCGAATTACCCGAGAACGCCAGCAACGAAACTAATGGACCGATTCGGGATACTGCCGTTGTTCACCAGATGGAAGCACCAGGAAGCTTGTTGGCTGTACAAGATCCGGCATCCTGTGACCTTCAATGTCCCCACGTACGTCGCGGAAATGATTGTATTCGATGAGCCGAAGAAGCCGTACAACTTGCGGCAGGACAGCCGCCCGACCATCAAAACGCAGGCGAGGACGAAAACTGGAGAAACAACTCTCGCGTGGAGACTGAATAAACTGTTGGATAAAATATACTGTTCTGATAGTGATGTTCTTAATTTACGTTCTCTGTCTTGTTTTAAAGCCGCTCTGTTATCAGCTTGTTTTTTCTAAATTCTTGGTTATTGGATGCTATATGCTCGACAATAACTCTTGATGTTCAGCCAGGTTTAAAATCCCATGCTAGACTGTCAACCTAGCCGGAATTGGGCTACCTGCTCTGATTGCAATTAAATTAAATTAAATAGGCGCAGTTTGCCCAGTAGAACCAGGGTGGAAAAAATTCAACAGCACCTGCTATTTCTTTTCCTTCCTCGCAGTTGACAAACCTAAGTAAATTACTCCATTGTTTATTCCTCGTTCTGATTCATTCACGAAGCCGATGCTTTGATGGATTGTTTGCAGAAGAACGTACGCCGAAGCCCGCAGATTCTGTCGGCAAAAGGACGCGAAGATATCAGCTGAATTAAATGACGATGTGGTTGATTTCTTTTCAACGCGTTATGCTGCACAATTGTCGTCCAAAGAAAGAATGTACATTTCCGGATGTAAAACTATTTCAAATGACGGCTGGGACAAAATCACGCGGGCTAGCTGCGACGACGAATTAGCCTTCATTTGCACAAAACGCTCCATCCGGAGCTGACCGAGACAAAACTATTTGGACCAAGAAAGGAACTAAGTAAAATGTGCAACGGCCAATTGGCTAGGAACGTCGCGCTAACCTTTATGTTATTTGTTTTGTACTGCATTAACACGAAACTTTAATAATAGCGGTCTACTTGTTTGTGAGCTTTCCGACCAATTTTTTTGTGCTCCAGCGTTAGTTTCTTGTCTCAGTAACGAAAGCCTAGTTATCAGATGCTGCCAAACAGGCTCCAGCACTGTGTATGACAACCGCCACATTTAACAAAGATAAAGGGTTGGTGTACGAGTAGTCAAGGCTGTAAACAGCTGACAGTATTTTTAATATTACCTCGCTTGGTAAATAGTGCTTTATAAATGTGACAAGGTCAATCACAGTTAACAATTCAATGCAGTCCTTGTTTTCATATTAATATATGTTCATTTAAAATACATTTCGAGAGGAGTTACAGGAACAGAGTCGCAATTATCCTTATTTTGCAATCATCCAGTGTAGTCAACCACAGTGGTTCGGGGAGAATAACATATTCTGTCGCATCCGCGCGTGCAACAAATCTGGTTGAATCCGCAGTTACGGTTGGAGGTGCACTGTGTGCGGCATGCTGTACGAATCACCGGAACAGCTGACCCGCTGCCAGAGTTAGATGTCCCAGCTGGAACGCGAATTTCCACTCGATCGTAGCACACCGGCAAAGCTGCGAAAAGACAAACTTCGCGGCCCCTTCGAGAAAATGATCGAAGCTCGAGTTGCTTATTACGATCGCTACCGTACGTTCAAAAGAGCTACAATCCGGACAGTTTTACAGAACCATTACCGGTTTGAGAAATAGGAGCTGGATTTGTCCGGCATTGGTAAGATCTAATCGAGGAAGAGCCGAGATTGACCACCTGGCAGTAACGATTTGGTCCACAGTTAACGCTCTACAAAGAATTCACCCTAAGTAAAGAGCATGCAAACACTACTCGTACCATAGAGTAAAGCACATACAGCGCACGGATTATAGTTTGGTGATTGGCGAAGTACTCCATTATTCTGCAGGCTCTGGGCGATGGATCCGCCTAATTCTACAGCCCCCAGACCGCAGTAAAAATACTGAACAACGGTTCAAATAAAACACCAATAAAAAATTAATACGTACGCTGGGATAGTGCGCCGCCTGCGCAGGATATTGTCAACAGTATAAAATAAACGTACATTTCAAAAGCTTTAAAACGCTAGCAACAGAAGAAATTACGACAAATTCGGTTTTTTGCTATTCACACAACGCTAAACCGTCCGTCTTAGCGCAACAGGCGAGTAATACAAAAACACTCGTATCAAAAAATAGCAAAAACATCGTTCTGTGGTTGAGGTATTTATAAGAAGGATACAGAAAGTAGCGTCTTTATTGACCAAAAGCGTTAGGCGGAAAAGGATTTGCCGCTTGATGTCAACAACGGCTTTGTTGGTCTTGTTTGTTCAGTCATCTAGTACACACCACCCTACACACTGACTGTGTATACATAGCACTCGCGCGTGTATCCGGTTTAAAGTTGGCTTTATTAAAGTATCTATCGCAAGAAAATGCTCACCCCAGCATTTTTTTCCAAAGGATAACCGTGCAGTTGTATATCGCACAGCAATTGGAAGATAAACACCGAATTAAGTTAACTCCGGTTGTACATACGGTACACTGCTCCGGAAATACCGGAAAAAGTGACGCCAAAGCGAGTTATTAAAAACAACATTTTCCCGATAGCGCCGCCCAAAGCACAGCACAGGCTAAGCAGATTAAAGTAATCCAGTACGGTAAAATATGTAATTCAGCACTTTTCCGCAAATATTCGCAATGCACTTATTCTCGATGTTTATTGTGCCAATGATTTAAAAAGTATATGAAGTAATGATGGTAAGAGCTCAGGTTTTATAAACTTCAGATCTGAAGCGTCCAAGCCGTGGTTAGTCGCACAGCTGCCATTTCCTTGAGGTAACCGTCGATCACATCAGTCGAAGGGTATCGCCATACTTTCCAGTACTTCTGAGTGTCGATTCCTGGATAGCTCGCGGCAAACTGAAATCTGACCGCATTATCCCTGAAACAAAGGGCTCGCTGTTCGCTCATCTATGAATTAGCTAAGAACTATTCGGTTTCTGGCTGCATAGTATGCACAAATAAGGAATTCTGTAGCCGGAGCAGCCAGCACATATTTTGTAAAAAATCTCAAACAGTGGTAGTTAATTATGTACGCACCCTGCTACGGTTACCACGTCCTCGCGTCCTGTCAAGGTAATCGTCAGAATGGCATCGTTTATAGTTATCGGATTGGCTGCAGCAAATGCCAGCTCCACCGCACGAAGAACATGTGATGAATTCTGGAAATATTGAAATGGTTAGTTATATCAAACCTTTACTGACAAATTTTCGTTTTGCCGAAGGACACCAAAAATAACCGAATTGTGTCGAACGACTCTTACCACAACGGCGGCAGTTTTGGACCCGTCCTCACCAGTTATTAGCGCTTCCGATATTAACTGAACGGTCAGGAGAAAAGTGTCATTCACCGGACAGATAAAAGGATCTGATGATACTCTGCACGCGTTAACAATATCGCGTTTTGTTGACTTGTAGTGCTTCTCTAAGTCTTCGTCGGACAGACTTTTGTCGGTATCTCCAAAAGGATACCTCTCCAGTACATAAGTTAAGGTAGAATTTCCGCTCCCAAGCGGCATTTCTATAGTAAGACCTTGCAACCGATCGTAGATGGACTGCGCGTACCGCAACTTGGGATCCGCATAAATGTTCGTCTCGAACGTTTTCCCATGGTAGTACAGTGCCACGAAGAAGTTTACTCTGTTACCAACTAAATCGGGATTCCACAGAACAACCTCCATTCTCTGTTTGTCATCTATCATAGCACACCTCGACGGTATAGCTAATTCACGTACGGTATGCTGATTTGTAGCATGTGTGAGTTCTTGACATACATACCGTTCACAAGTTCCCGGACGCGCTCGGTCATTCGCGACTCTAGAAGTGGTAAATGCTGAATGCTGACTGGGAAATTCATTCGGGCATTCTTTTTATTAAAGTACATTCGAAACGAAAAGGATTTGTCCACTGGAAAAGGCAGTGAACCGTTGTAAAATGATCGGTCACCAGGATCGTAGTAGTGTGGTTGGTAATAGTGTTGTCCGTATTTCGGATGGCTGGCAGCATCTGGAAGCTGCCCAAGATAAACGGCATCCTGGATCAGCGCGACGTACGGCACATTGATTAGCGTGGAGCTAAAACAAATACTTTCTTAAGACAACTCAGTGTACTTTACTTTTACACAGAATAATCATTATCGTGGAAGCTTACTAAGAGAAAGAATTATTTGCCCGTGATGTGATTATGTAAGGATCGGCGTTTCCGAATCGAATATCCAGATCTTTACTATCGGCATTTGCGCATCCTTCCTGCCCACGAGTTTCGTTCATCATATCCAGAATTTCGGTTTTCAGTGTTTCAGGATCGAAGCTGCTGCTCTGATCGGTCGGCTTGTAAAACGAATATGCTCCATAGCCTTCAAAGGCAATATCGTCGTATAGTATCAAACCGGCGCTCTGCAGGTTTTTCCGGAGGACTTGTACGGAAGGAGGAATAATTTGTGGAAGCTGGTTGTTGGTGTATACTGACGGAAGCTGCATCCCAATGGTTGAACGAAGAGGGAGGACATAGACGATCCTCATAAGTGGCAGTCTGCAAGCCGATACAAGAACAAGGCAGTGATTTCCGCTTTGCATTTTATCGGAGAAAAACAAAAAAATATTCAAAGTAACTGACGAAACCGAACTCTGGACGGATACGCCGTCCGCCGTCAAGTTTTGAATAAAATTTCCACTCTCGGTTTTTTGCGCTTTCAGCGTTGTGAGGTGGTCGAAACCGTTTACGGTTCTGCCGGAGCGTAGATTAGTATAAAGCGCTATTTTTGCCGGTTACACACATTTGGCAGCAATATCTCTCAAGTTTACTGATAATTTGATTTCACGAGTATCGCTGAAATTAGTTATTAATTTTAACGAAGGAGTTGTTGTTATATGCAATACATACGTACATGTAGTTTTTATAGTAGATGGATTCGCACGATTATGTTTAAATGCATTATGCAGGAATGCCTTTGCCACTGCTATCTTTTTCATGACGACGGGAATAAAGTATTGTCATAAACGTACCCTTTTGCAGTAACTAAACCTGTGCCGTTGTCGATCAAAACTATCTCTACTTCCACCTGAATTGCAGGCGAAACATTCTCTGTAAAACAAATTACAATGACATTGTCATCCCACCATACATGGAACATGTACGTGTTGTGCGATACTCACGAAACCTTTGCGACCACGCTGCTGTTAAGGCATCTTCCAGTTGTTTCACTGATGCGTTATTGGGTTGCAAAGTGACCTGATGTATACCCACGTAGTCGGGTATCTGCAGAACGCGCTTAAAGACTTTAACCAAACCATACGTAACCAAGTCATCTTTGTACTCTTCCGGTTTCGGTATGCGCATGTAGAACTGGACTCCGCTGCGGACCGGTGCCAGGCTAGAATATCTCTGAGACATCACCCATCCCAAATCAAATGTGATCTCTACGGGCGTGGTATTGTAAACTGTAAATCCTTCTGACGGATCTGATGTTTCATTGCCTGGTTGTAGAAGGTTACTAGTTACTGTGGTGGATATGGTGCCGTTGGAGGATAATAATCTGTCGCTGAGGCTTTGGTTAACTGCTTGGGAATCCGTATGGTTATTGGCGCTGGAAATGTCGCTGTTGGCGAAGGCCTTGCAGAGCCGTAGTGTAGTACCGGGAAATTCCTTGACCACTGCAAAGTGCGGCACAGTAGTGAAAACATTGGACAAATCCTTTCCACTAAGCGAATTAGTTAAAATTAACGTATAGAAGTACCTCTTTTCTCAGTTCCTTGTCTTGGCGCAACTTTTGCAGTCGGTCCGTCTCCAATCTGATTGACGGTTTGAATGCTTGTATATCCGTATGGAAGTGTAATAATTAATCCAAATACAGCGGTTATTAAGTGTGCTAATTCTCGCCGTTCCATCATAATGCCACTACACGTAAAATTAATTTGAATATAATGGCATAAGCTATCGTTTGCGCGCTTGATAGGACAGATTTCTACAGGCAGCTGCAACCATCGTAGCCCTTGAGTAATCAGGCATGCACACTTTACTTCCGCTTACAGAATAAATTTTGCAAAACAACAAAATAACCAGGCTCTACTTCGCTGAATGGAACTAACGTGTTCGCTGTATCATGGTATTTTACGCCTTGCGGCGAGTAGTCATTTTTTGACAGGAAATCCAGTTATTACATAAAACACATACAGGCGTGGAATAACATGTATGAACTTATGCCGTCGCGAAAAAGAACCGACGGTAGCGGTAAAATGCTCAAAACGTGTTTACACCTTACGGAAAAGTATCGAATTGTACATTTCATGTAAATTTCATGTAAGCGTTGTACAAAGTAAAAAATATACCAGCACAAACATAAACAGCAATAGCACCATACACCGATTAAAGAGATACGTGTAATATCAATAGGTTGCCGTAATACCGCGTGGAGAACGGATCCAGAACTGGAATGTATCTAATTAGAACTAGAAGTCCACTCCGGCTCGGCGTAACACACTCGGTCGCAGTTTCTCATGCAGCAAATCTGGGGCGCCTGGCAGTCCGCGTTGGAACGGCAGTAGCTGTGGCATGCCGGTTGGACAATATGCATTACCCCGACGGACTCGCGGCCAAAATCCTCCTCTATCGGGACAATCATGTCGGTTCGGTCGTAGCAGGCAGGATATGCTGGATAACACCGAAAAGCTGACATGTAAAACGGGGAAAACGTTCTGCTGGAAGCACTTGTATTACCCGGGCGCTGTCGACACTCCCACCAACGAGGAGCACCGATTTCCTGGCAAACATAATTTCGACCGCAGTTTACACCCTAGTAAAATAGAACCAGTTTCAATTAATAGGGTAGTCGACAGTGGGCTTGGCGTACAGCTCTACGTTAATAAAAAGCGCGCAGTGTCAGATAATCATGCACGTTCGGAGGACTGACCTCACAAGAATGGAAATCGCGACGTCCCAGTCCCGTCACACTAGGAGCTACGGTCAGCATACGGTATTTACACAGAATATTGCAAGTGTTTTGCGTACATGCACCACGAGCAGGCTCAAGGTTAGGTGGCTGGTGTTGTACTATCAAATTCGATTACGGTATAATACTTGTATACACATCCTGCACGGGAGCTATTGCTTTCGAGCATTCCCAGCACTTGTTTGCGTTGCTTTATGAAATTTAATAGCAACAATCCCGTACATGCCGGCGTGAAAACCACTAATGCGCGCAACATCCGGTTGGGAAATTACGGGAGAAACAAAATTTGAAAAAGTATAAATGCAAGCAGGTATACCAAAAATCTCATCTTGAACAGATGTTTAAATTTTGCACAAAAATACTAATATTGATAAAGATCGTTTTTGCACCAAATACTTTTTCCAAATTTCAAAATGAATATTAAAAATGATTTATGAGACTTTTGGTACACCAGCTCGCTTGTAAACCCTTTTGGAATGTTATTTCACTCAAAACTTCCCAACTGGATTTTCGCGCACAAACGGTTTTCAACCCAAAATACAATATGTAAATCATTAAATGCAGTACTGTATGTCATAAATAATACAGAAAATGTTCAGGGAGTAGGCGAAATAAAAATTTTCCTCGCATACACACGAAATTTTGTGCTGTTCATCGGCCAACTTCCCTTAAGAAATCGACCCAATTAATTACAAAATTAGAGGAGAAGGTATGTGTAATTATATTCGTGCAGTGCAGGTATAACTAATAACAATAAGTACAACTTAGAACTTATAATAATTATATGTAAGTATGCACTCTGCTTTGAAGAATAACAGCAGTACAGCAGCAGTTTGAAATGCCGAAAAATTCGCTGCATAACATTATTAAGGGATTACGTATATTATCTGTTCTTGTTGATTAGAATAATTAACAGCATATGTTTTAACAAAATCAGACTGTTAATAACTCAAAAGTGGCAACAAAAAGCAACTGCACGAAACAAAAACATACGTACGTAACCAGCAATGAATTCCGATTTCCGATGATGCGGACACACATAGAATACAGACCACATGCGCTATAACATTCATTTTCAGTCTGATTATTATTAGATCAATAATTGTTAGAGTGTCATTAGAGTTGCCGCTGATGATGCTGTAACGTACAGAGTAGTTGGATCGGTCTGATCTGATTTGTGATCTTGGCTAAACTGATATAAATAGTATTACGATCATCATAATGACTGCTTGGGTTAGTGACGCTAAGTCTCGAATATGCTCTATTCTGTGAAGTAATGTATTCAAAATCATGCCCGAAAAATTATTCAAATAATTTCGAAGCCCCACTTCCCAGTACTCATGGCAGGTGGTCAAGTACTACCTGAAATTATTACAAAATTTTACTGGGACTAACATCCAAGAAATATGACTCTGCAGCTTTCAGTAATACCATGTACCATGAAACAGATGTGAAACTGTAAGAAAATTACAAAGCAAAGTTAAAGATCGTTCGATCGACGCTGAAAGTTGGTTATAATCACTTTTCCAGTCACCTGCGCACCATACGATACAACGGGACTTGCTGCGTCAGCTCACGCTTTCGGCGCGTTACGGTTTCGCTTTCGTATGTCATAGAAAATTCAAGGCTGTCTGGTGCAGCAATTTCGCTCAAGCAAGCAAAACTATTTTCATTGTAACAACGGCACCAGAGACTAGCATCGCCATTGCAAGATAGTAATAAATTATCATAAGTCTTATTCAAAAATCCTGCGCATAGTGGGGAAAGCGGGCTGTGTGAGCTAATACGGGCAAAGGTGCGTTTTGTCTGTCATTGCAGCTTGATGGCATAATACAGCAGAAAGATGATGGATTAACCCGGCAACGTCTGCTAGGTGGAAAAACCACCAGTAAAGTTCGCCAATTTTCACAATGTCAGAACTATTGTCATTGTTTGGGTTACATATGCATGAGATAGAACAAAGATAACTCTCTGCACAGTGAATTTTAGTTTTTTAATCAGACACACCATAAGAAACCTACACTGCTTAAAAAACACTGAAAAAATAACGTAAGGTTCTACGAAGTGTATCTAAATCGGCTGTTGTGATAAAAATTCGGGATTAAATTAGTGATAATTTCATGTGAGTATCTCACAATTTCAGTATCACACAAAAGTTTGCAGCTCTTCTGTAAAAAACTGTGAATTTTCAAAAACAGCTGGTGGAAATTCCACCGCTTGGGCATTGGCGTAGGACAATAACATGCTGCCTGAACAGGCACAGTGACCAGAGCCGTACACTTCATATGATTCAGCCGTTGCACACTAGGAGGGTAGCCAAACCAGAACACTGTCATCTAACTGAGCAAAATATCAAACAAATAAGGACATCTGAGTGCTTTTATAATAGCATAAATGGTAATAAAGCATTTTTCTTATCATATTACAATGTTTTCTTCGACTGCAATAGGTAAAAGAACAATAAAATGACGTTGTGATCGAAGCAGCCAACCATAAATATGGCTGGCTGTGATCAGTGTTGTTCACATGTAAACTGGCGCAGCCCACCATGACCCTGTTGCATACTGACCGGAAATGACACATTCTTTTGATTATAAATTCAACCATGAATCTTTTCATGATGAATTAAATTGCATAAGCTAACTATTGTAAACAGCTACCACGGCCACGTTGATTCGAGTAGATCAAGTAGCCACAACGTTGTGTACAACGGAATTTGTGTGGTGTCGCACCGGCAACCACCTTGCCCGCACCGTACGTATTGTATATCGTGAATGCCCAAGCGGTGGAATTTCCACCTACCCTTCAAATTTTAAACTACTGCAGCAAAAATTTTGAAAAAAATAGTTTAAGTTCATTATATTATTGTTATTCTATGGTATGAATTTCAATTTCGACAAAAAATTCCTTGATACCTCGGGCATTGCCGGGTTAAAGAAACTAATAATAGCTGCCTTGTCTCTTGGCTGGAAAAATAAGATTGCTATCTTGTATACTAATGCCTGTAAGTTTCTGATGCATAATCTGCGTCTGAACATTTACAAAATTAACACTGGACTAAAATATTCATAAGTATGTTTTTAAAAAGTTTTTCAATAGCTGTACAGGTGGCTGTAGCATTAAAGTTTTTGCCCTGTTGCGCATACCGGCTTTGACTAGCAGCATAGCCAATAATATTACTGCCCGGCGCGGCGGCGCTGCGGTGCGCTATACGGCAAAAAATGTGCGACAGCTATCCAAGAAACATTATCTGGAATTTAAAGTAATGAGCGAAACCTGTTTGGAATACGCTCGGCCTGCAGACGGCATTTATGAAGAGAAGTGGTATAACTCTGTTGCTGCAAACCGGGTGTACTTGTACATAAGTTAAATGGAAAGAATGGCACACCGACAGTCTTACACAAACAGGCCGATCTGTTCAACAAGGCATGCAAACGTACCTGTTCATACCCGAGCCCGCTGTTTGCCACGGCTCGCACCAGCGATTCTCCCGCTCCCATAGATAATCCATCGGGACTCGAAATCTATTTTAAGCCGGATGATTTGGTCCGATCCGGTGTTCCACTCTGTGCCACTGCAATTCTCCCTTTTCAAACAGGCCACGCACATACATACCGGCAAGTTAATTCCAACAACTGTATAACATCAGCCGATGGTAATCTTTCGTGAAACAGGAGGAGAATGAGCGCTGAGAGGGAAAAGAGTAAGCCGGCATCTTGGCCCGGCTGCACTTACCGCCATACACGTACACTCATGTACACACACGGGCGCGCTCCATCCAGCCGGGCCCTTTAATGTGCAAATAAATGCCACCTAACCTTAGCTCCAAAATAATTACCGGCATACAATCAAATTCCACTGTGCTCACCTGGCGGTGTGCCGGGCGCGCGCGCTCATACACGACTGGTTTACGTTGCCAACTCAGAAAACCCCGCCGGTGTGCCTGAACAAGCGGCGAGTGACTAAAACGGGCCGAGAGAGAAAGGGAGAGAAAGAGGAATGAATGTATGAGAGGATCAGTTATTTGTCTATTACTCTCACACTGCCAAATTTGCCCTGGCGAGCAACATACACACGCAGCAAGCGGTTTATCCAGGAGACGTACTAGTTACAGTCATGCTTAACCGGCAGCGTCAGATCCGCATGGGCCCATGCGCACTCCCGTGTGTGTATGTATGATTGTGTGTATGCACCCACGTATGTACACCGTTCCGGCATATTCACTTGGTAATTTGAAGACGGCACCCGAAAAATGTCACTAGTTGTTATATGCCGTGTGCAACAACTGCGGCTCCGATTACCTGCAGGGCGCTGCTTATTCAGGCTGTTCCATCGGTTTTCCGCAATTTTTCATTTTGGCGTTCTCTAATGCGTTTTCATACAGGCACGTAATGTAGTGGTCAGTTTGTATTAGTGCTCACGTGAGTCTGTCCATTTGTACGTTTCTCTTCGGTAGTTAACAGAAACCCTGTCAGAATTAGTGGATTTCGATAAAAATTGGTTTACGACGCTGGGTTATAAAATATTGCACCGTTAGTTGTCCTCGGTAATATGCATCACGGGCTGTAAATCCGGTCACGCCGGCGTCTAACCGGCAGCGTATACAGCGGGTTTTTTTTTTGCCCGGGTGCGTTTTTTATTTGCGCTATTACTTATCCCCATCAAATCACTTTATGCCGTTTTGATTGCCCCGGACAAACAGCGCGTTTATGGGCGCGCAGCTACCGTGTGCTCCCGTTCCGCGCTCTCCCACCGTCGCCCTAATTGAATCTGTATTGGATGGCCGTTAATTGTGTAACAGTTACTTCTTGTCTGCGCGCCTTGTATTAACCGGTCCGTGTCGGTGTGTGTATGTGTATATGGCGCGCACTACCGTAACTCGATGGGGATGATGAGTGTATGTGTGTACTTTGCGGTTTTGAGTCAAGTATCGATCGATCGATGAAGGTTGGCCACGGAGTGTAAAGATAGAGATATATATGCGCCATCAATTGACAAACCGGGCCGCGCATACATAAAGGATATCCTGCCAAGTGAGCGCCGCTCTCAACCGGGGAAGCCATATCAACAACACACGGGACGGGAGAGAGAGAGAGGCAGCGGAAGAGCGAGAGAGACAGGGTCCCGGCTGGATGCATAATTTAACAAGCAGCGTGTAATCCCCGCGTTATTATCGGTTGAGGATGAGCGCTAATGAGGCACACGTCGCTGATCGCCAGCCATCCACCTCGGCCTTCAGTACACCGGTGCCGGTAGCGAGCGAAGCGCTGCCCGTCGTCCGTCCCGCAGCGGGGAAATCGGAGAACAAACCGGCGGTGCGGAAAGCCAAACGGAATGAGACTAAAGTGGAGGATAAGGTGAATAGGAAGATCAGTGTGCAGAAGAAACGCTTCCGGCTGGCGTATGCGTCGCGTAATACCGTGCAGGCGGGCGGGCATCATCCCATGGAGACCGGGATCATCTGTAAGACACCGAACAGGTGCCAGCAGAAGATGCGCTTACTGCGGAAGACACTGCGGCGAACGGCCTGGAACTGCGTCATCGCTGCCGGTAATCTGTCTAGCAATCTACCTACACGTAAATTGAGACCAAGCGGGCTCATCAGTTTTCTAATCTCCATGCGCACGGTCAGGAATTACTTTGTTTAGCTCGGAGCCCAATAATCAGCAAAACAATATTTATAAATTCTCATAAGAATCAAGTCAAGTTAAATACAATTACTGCATAGAAATAAAGCAGTCACTTACTTACTGGTTAGTTCATTCAGTGGTCATAAAATAGAACAACAGCATTCAATACAGTAAAAATTCAAACGATCCCAAACTAGTCTATCCAAATTAATCAGTCTCTTGATTCTGTAGTTAAGTAATCAGTATCTAAATTCTTTATTCTGCAGCCTACGAAACCTTTTATTAAAGGGCCGGCGAAACGTTGTTTTGCACAGACGAAAAGATTTCTACTTCGGATTGGACGAAACTTTGCACCGTCAAAATAACAATTATGCAATTAAAAAAGAAACTTTTTCCTTGTTTGCTACTGCATGGTTTTATCATTGTTCGTAATGTCATACGATTGGTTTTAAAAATTCGTTGTCGTTATTCGTTACCCATTTTTCAGGACTGGAAAGTGCAGCCTGTTTCCATCTTAAGGACCTGCGAAACCGTTCCCAACCAAAACTGGAACGCACTCCGTCCAACGAGCCCAGTGTAGAGCCTTCAGACTGGTCATCACAGATGCACTGTATTTTCTGCGAGAATTCCCCAAATGTACCACCGGCCACCAAATCCACCCCAATTTCCACTTTACTGGAAATGCCACGGAAACCGGTAATGGAGCTGCCGTCTCTCAACGACAACCTGGACTGGCTGCGCTCCTTACAACTGCAGCTGCCCAGCTTAAACCTGGGCATCAATATGGACAGTGGACATATCAGCCCGTTTACCGTACCGTCCACGCCCAACAGTGCGCTAACGGCGTCCGTCTGGGCCAAGGTTAATCCGTTTCGCTTCATGCCGGAAGAGCGGTCCCTCTCGGAAATGGTTGAACAGAAAGGTACTCCTATATTTAGATGGCTATTGTTGCAGCACATTTCCGCGGTGCTTCTGTTGAAATCCGATAGAGCGATTGAGAGATTCTTGTAATCGCGATCAGGTGAAATCCCTTGACGTGATTGTTAATCGAATTAAGCAAGGTACGGGAAAATGCAGATCCCGGGAATTAAATTCCTTGAAACTGCCGGAATTACATTCTGATAATCATTTATACATCTGTCTTGGTTTGAGCGGGAAAAGGTTTGGGCGTTATAAGCTGGGAACCGATTTCGATCGATAATAAACGACATGTAAAGGTGCACAATTTGCAGATACGAGTATATAAAATAGGGCGGTACATTTGAATGATCTCGTACACTTGTAAAGTGGGTGGCGTTTCTGCTGTTAACAAAACTAATTTTGCAGTTTACAGATGAAGAGACGCCTTTGATAAAACCAGCAAGCAAGTCCGAAGAGATTGCTACGATCCCACCCGTTCCCAAACGATCCCGCTCCCGTACTCCCGGGCGGTCGGCAGCGCCGCTATTCCCCAGCGGAACTGCGTGCCGCCATTGACGAAGTGGAACGCGGCAACGTCGGGACGCGTAAAGCGGCGCTTCTCTACGGGATTCCGCGCTCGACCCTCCGCAACAAAGTGGGCAAAATTCTCGGCAAGAAACCCGACGATGCACCGGATACGCCGCTGGACATGTCGCCCACCCCGGGCGTCACACCGGTGTCTGGTTTAATCAGTGTCAAAGAAGAAGCCCCGAATGCCGTGCCCAATAAACAGGACATCACTTTCGCGCTGAAGCGTATCATCTCCCAACATTTATCCGAGAAATTCAAGATTCCGGTGTCGTCGTCACCGAAAACTGCAAAAAGTGCCGAACATAAACCGAAACGGTTGCGCGGCGGCATTGACGCGTCTAACCGGCATAAACGCGGTCGATATCGCAAGTATAAACAGGGAGATTTGGAGGAAGCGCTGCGATTGGTCAAACAGGGCGAGATGACGGTGCACCGTGCGGGACACCTGTTCGGGATCCCGCACAGCACTTTGGAGTATAAAATTAAGGAGCGAAACGGAACACTGTCACATATTAACGGCACAATCCATCCCGAGCCGGAAAAACCGGTGAAAGTTAAATCAAAGAAGGTCAAAGCAGAGTCCAATGGAAATAGCGATCTTCTGCCGTCGCCCAGTTTACCTGATTTCTCGCTGCATAACGATCTCGCAGCCGGTTCCCTGTTGAACTTGGATCCCAATGCAAATTTTTTGTTCCCAAATAATCCGTTCCTAATCAATCCGACTACCAGCGATAACAACATCTTCAACCAGTTATTAGCATTGCAGATATTGCGAAATACCATGATGGGCGTGCCGTCCATTCCACCGCCGACATTCCCGTTATTCGAGAGCAGCGCGGTTTCCTCGGCGCCGTTCCGTCCGTGGACTGAAGGCCAGAACAACGGCGGTCGGTTGGGAGCGATGCCGAACGGTACCGAGAAGAAGCCGAAAAAAGCCACTAAGAGAAAAAATTTGGAGGATTTACCGCTCAATCTCACCATGTCAAAGGAGAAGTCGACGCCAAAGATTGTGGAATAATTCCCGGTGTAGGGATCATTTTATAGATAAGAGTATTGGTAGAGAGTAGTTTTTATTGTGGTGATTTTTTCTGTTAACCGTCCTGTTGATATGGCGCATATCGATTTTATGCTTTTATTGTGGGCACTTTCGACTTACGGCTGCGTGTGTATTGATTGATCTCGGTTACTCGATACTAATGAATGTCTCAAGTTTCTTCGCTACAGATTCTGGTTTCTAAATAAACATTCATCCCCAACTTTAACCGAAAATGCCAATAAAAACTGCATATATTCGAAGATGCATTAGTTGCACTGAATGCGCAATTTTTGACAGGAACATAGACGTTTTTAAGCAAGTGTTCACTAAAGCCGGTTAAGCCAGGAAGAAGAGTATCGAAGAGCGCTTGTATGGTAATTTATGCTCGTATATCAGTTTACGACTTCTATGTTTCCTCGTGCTTGTATGATAATATTGCCTTGTGATTGCGAAGGAACCTGCTCTCATGATTACTCATCGAATTTTTTCCGATCCTTCTACCAAATTTTCTCGCATTATGGATGGTATCAGCAACGACCCTAACCAATCAAGAAATTATACCGACCGATACGTTCCGGTAGATACATCTAGCAGTTTAATATGGTTGACCGTCATAAGCTTAATCTTGAACATCGGGATGCTGTGCATCACCCTCCGTGACAAAAAACGCCGCACCGCGTTTTCCGTGTACGTCATCGTCCTCTTGTCCAGCAACATCTTGTATGCCCTTTTCGATCACCCTCTCGGAAATTCTCTATGAAGAATACGGATTCTGGTGGATGGGGTTTCAGGCGTGTAGTTTATACATCTACACCGATTACGTGATGGTCGGTGTGTCGATGCACAGCCATGTTCTCATCACTATCAACCGCATCTGGGCACTGGTCTTCCCGGTGTCGTACAAACATCATCACAATTTCAAAACAGCGTGGTTGGTTTGTTTGGCAATGGTGGTTTATGTCCATGTCTTCTGTTTACCCGGATTTTTGATGGATTTGATGTATTACCGTGTGGATAGTGATGAGTCCTGTGGATTGGATATCGATTTATTGCAAGAATGGTCGATACTGGTGCAGATTGTGATTTATGATTTTCCGATCATCTTTATCGTGGCGTCGTACCCGTTCTTATTGAGAAAGCAGCTACGCCGTGGAAAGACGGTTTCGGCGATGACCGGTACGTTGGACCGCAGCGGCAGTGTGAAATTCCGCAAGCGGAAGGAGCAGACGAAGCCGTTTGTGCTGTTAACGCTGCTGACGGTTGGGATACTAATCTGCTGGACGCCGACCATGATCTTCTACACGATGGCCTCGTTCATGTCGGTCGGATGAACTGGATACATTCGACCAAGTGGGCGCTTTCATGTACGGGATGCAGTCGGTGCTGGATCCCGTTTTCTTTGCGTTGAGTCTAGGCGGGCTGTATCATAAGATCAGGCTGCGATTGTGTACGGTCTCTAATGGCTGCATGGTCACATTGGGCGAGAAACTGTCAAAGTAGTCATAAAATGGAAACATCACCGGGGTGAGCCGCTGTGCTTTTGTTAGTGTTTCGTTAACTATTCTGTAGTACTCGTATGATACTAGCTAGTGTCACAGGATAATGTGTGGAGCATGATCTTTCATCAGCGATGAATACTGACACTTTTTAATGCATTCGTCGCAGGCGGGTGTTTGGAGATTTGGTAAAACATCAACAATTGCTGATTAAATTACGAATACGTATGGACCGTACTGACAGCAGTCAAGTTAGCAATTTCACCATTTAGCGTAACATTGCGCCACTGCATTCTCCTTGTACGTTTTACCAAAATAAGTCGACGATACGTATTGTACTATAGCACTAAACTGTTCAAATAATGTACAATGTGTCTTATGTGTCGCACAGAATAATAATATTATGTACAAGTATAGAATGTCTGCGGGGAAATGCGGTTGTTTTTTGTTGCTGTTAGTTGATCCAAAGAACAAGAAATTTCTTGCTCTTGTTTATGGGCTGCTTCAGTTTTGATGTACATAAACGGCAGTGCTTGCTTAAGTTAAAAATTTATTGAATACTCATTTAGTGGTATACTCAGTAATCAGTGCGTTGCGTTGACTCAAAATAAATGCACCAATGAGGTAAAGATGCCAGGCTTCCCTTACAGCGTAACTTTTGCACTTTTACGGCTAAGCGTTGCTCATCGTACGCAGATTCACACGCACCATGACTGAAACCAGGCTCGACGCGTAAAAGTGGCATTGGCTTACAATTTAAAAAAAACCACCAAAATAATGATTTTCACCTCAAACGAAAATCATACTCGCGGACCTCTAGGATTTTTATACATAACAGTGCATACACAAAAGACTTTAATTATGGTAAATTAGGGACTTGCAGTTTGGATTGCGTTATTCAGCGGCGTTTTCATGGCAGATATACCCGCTGGTGGTGGAAGCAGTAACCAGTCGCATGAAATTAAAGACTAATGAGCAGGAAGGCTACATGCTTGGGTCCGTGATTCGACCAAGGGCGACGGGAGCATTGGCAGTTTCATCCCAAATGACGCAATAAAAAGGCCGATCAGCAAGGAATAATCCACCCCAGTTTAAATGAGGGGCAAGGTTCAACTGTGGTAGTGGATCTCCAGTTCCGTGTTCATTCAACTCTACAAATTACAAGTAAATAAGCATCTAAGGCTGCCGTCCGTGACAAAGGTTTTTACAATGGACACTATTTATTTTTGGTACTGCTAACTTCATTTTGTCTGAATTTTAACAACTGGTGTATAAAAATAAAATCGTATACTTAAAGCGACCAAAATGTGAGAAAAATCGGAGCACCTGTATTCCAGTAAACACAAATACCTGTGACCATATACTTACCGAGAACAACGTCTTGCCTGAATTCATCAATTTTCACTGCCGTGTCGCCTTCAAACATGCGGCCGTAATCAGCCTCCTCGTACACTTGCTGCAGACCCATTCTTGTGGTGCATGATTTCAAATTAACACCGCAGCGGATACGAAATTTCGGCAGAAATACATGTAGTATATACGGGTATTCCCATACACATTTCTGTCGCCAGGCCAGCAAATTGCCGATGGTCATTTTTTCCTGCAGCTTGTCTGTCCCCCCGGAATTCGGGTACGGCAAGATGATCATTACGCTGAATTTGTACTCTGATAAATCCAAAATAATGACCTGTGGATTATCGTCCTCGCACTTAAAGACGTTGAAGGATCGCGCCATCAGCAATTCATATTCGATAAAATCCACTCTCTTCTCTACGTTGTTCGGACAGCAGAAAATTCTTGTCTTTGTCCTCCATGGACTAGGGGGTGCTTCCCACAGCAGCGATATTTTAACAATGCTCATTAAAACCATTCGGGTACTGTGATCCACTTCTACGAGGCCGCTTTTCAAGTTCCCGTCAGTTTTCTCGGCCACGAATTGATCCATCACGTGTGCAGCCGTGTCAGGGGACGTTCTGAATGGCGTTCGTACAAAATTAATCGCAACTGCAGGATTCACTGTCGCTAAGTAAGGCAACACCGGAAACCGCGAATCACTATCGTAGAACATGGCATTGACACATTGGAACGCGGCATCAGTATTTACTGTATTCAGGGAAGTGGAAAGTGCATCATAATTCTTTCCGTCGGAGCACAGAAATTGCGTCAGGGTTGTGCGTAGAATCCCGTCTGTTCCGGGCAGTATGGCCGCTAAAGCCACTTTCATCCCATGTGGACTAACCATCAAGTTTTCATCAGGAGTACAGCAGCTCCGTAAAACCGATTGGAATATGTCCATAGCCAATGCATTCTCTGTATTCACACTGAAATCGGTAGTATACCCCTCTGGCATTTGTCCACGAACACGCTCTGTTACGCTACAACCGCGGCAGCCCAGCTTGCCAAATCTATTTTCCGGTGTGATTGCTAGTTATTTGATTTTTTGCTAGCTTTTTTGCTATTCTCCTTCGCGCCCGCAATGTCCGGGCGTTTAACGCCGACATAAACTAATAACCAGAATACCGCTTTGCGCACGCCCGTGATCGAAACGGGTCTGACTCATTTGAGCACCGTGTTTTGCTACGGGCATCTTTTCTTTCGTACATTCTAGCAGACCTGCATGAACGGTAGTCTTGACGGACGCGGAAAATACGTGAATGTAGTGACGTACTGGGTTTAACATAGAATTTCCTTTAAACTGGGTCGAATACCCGAATAGCACGAAATTAAATCAAAAACATTACAATCGATAAACCAAGTATTAAAAACACTCAGCATTGAACAAAGCGGCTTTAAAACATACGAAAGAGCGCTTAACGCGAAGTGGCTAGCAACTCGGTCCTTTTGCGGAAACGGGCATACCGCCAACGCATTACACTTTTATACTATACAGTAGCATATGCCACATAACGAAATGATTTTTGTGCTTTAAAATATGATCAATAGTAATTACGCATTCGTTGTTACTGAGATATTAGGTTTTAAAGTGAAAAATTTGAAATCGATTTTTACAGAGTACAGATATGAAAAAAAATATTCTGAAACGGCCATTTCAAAGATTCAAGTATTAGAAGCTTATTATACGGACAGAATTTTGATTGAGAAAAAACAGAAAAAGGAAAAAAATCAGGGGTGCCAAGGAAGTGCTTGGGGCACTCTGCCTCTGGATATTTCTGACCATATCTGCCGAACGAAGCCCTAAACAGAGATTCTGTCCGTAAAATAAGCTCAGAATGCGGTACTGTATTTAATGCGATTTTAATCGTATTTTTTGGTAAACAAATGTGTTTACAGCAAATTCTCAAAGTTTTTTTACGTTTTGTTCACTGTTAGCTTGCAAAAGTACATCTCTTTCTCGGCTCTGGTGCCGGTACCGAAAGATGGTGGCTGCCGCACACAAAAGCACCTGCACATGTGGAGCAACGCAGAACAGGCAGGCAGCCATAGAACTTTCATGCAGAGTGCACTGTTCAGACTGATCCAGTTATGGACGCTAAAACAAAAGACTGCAATCAGACAGCAGATCTGCATTTATGGCGTCCATTGTTTCTGCTTCTTGTGAGCAAGCTCAACAAAGCTGGATGGGGCAGTTGTAGATTCTGATCCCACCTGATTGCGATTGCTGCTCTGCAAACCAGTGATGTCGGCGGCGATTGAAGGAATATGGCATTACTCACAATAAGTGCGGCGCAAGCAATTATTTTGCTGTTCACCTTACGTGCCCCCCTTTACCAGTTGAACAACTTTATTTTTTTGCTTGTTAACGAGTTAGGGTATGCTCTTTACAGTTATCGGGATATGTAGTAAAAAACACGCTCTATAAGTTGAGCTATGATAATTTTTTAGTATTATTTCGAAAATTCGCTAGCCACTTCGCGTTAAGTTGAGAAAATCAATACCAAAGTCAGAGCAAACGCAAAACTGTCGCGATACACAACCGAGAAGCCGAATCCAGTAAGCAGTGCGTAGTAATCAGTAAGTAATCAGTAACCAGTAGACATTTCGCCGTAAGTTCATCTCCGGTACATTTAGACGGGACATAACGCCGCAAGCCTGTTGCGACGCCGAGACATTTCGTCGAGTCGTAGGTAAGAAAGCATAAGAGAACATACGAAAACATGACGAAATGTGCGTGACTTTTGGCAAAATGTCGCATAGGTAGGACAACTGAAGGCAGTATATCGCAGGCCGGAATGCCCCAGCGTCCGTATGCCCCGTGGCAAAAATGTCTTTGCAACGAAAAGTCCCGCGTCGAATTTTGAGGGCGGCGAAACACACTCCCAGTTGCCCGGATACGCAACTGTCTTCATGGAGTATGTACCACATCAGTCCACATGTAAATACAGTGCGCATTCTCGCTATGCCAGTCATTTACCTTGACTGGCCCATTAGCCAGCTGTGTGTTGGTCAGCAGTGGAAACCTAACGAGGAAAAGCGCTTCACCCAGCATCTGACGCCGATTCACGGCGGAATGATCTAGGCTACGGGCATCGCATGCCTCCTTCGCCCACCTGCATAAAGCACATCCATCACCAAACAAATATTAGCGAACGGAGATCTTGTCATCTTAAGGTTGTCGCAGAAGCTAACAGATTACACACTTTACAGTACCTCTCAGCAGCCAAATACATTGACATTATGCTCGACAGTGGACAGCGTGTCACGTTACAGTAACATTACCATCGTCGCCTGTCCAACGACCGCAAAAGCAGTGGACTGCACGACGACATCAGCGGATCGGTCCACGAATTCCAGGCAATGCTGTACAATCTCGTCGGCATGACAGTCCATTCCCTGTAAGATTTCGTCAGAATCGTGATGAAGACTATCATTTACGGGAGGAAAACGTAATATATGTCCGCTAAATCCCAAAGTCAACGAACATTCTCCAGAACGGTTAGGCAGTTGTCCACATTAAGACGAGCCTTGACGAAGTCGCAGCATATCTCCATCAACAGCGGCAGATCGTCCTTGTCAGCACACGACCACGTTTGACAGACGTTATCCATATGCAGGCCATCCAACGTGTCCGTGTACATGAAACTACAATTGGCGACCAGTCAACGGAGTACATAACATTATTGCAATACTGTCACGTCCGATGGCTCCGATGTTTTACTGAGGCACCGGGATGCCCGGAAAATAAACTGGCCTAGAGAAGAAAATACTTGCAAAGCATACCGAGAACAATAATATACAGAATCCCGCCCTCCTTCGGTAGCTACAACTATAAGCACTACGAGTATCCTAATCAGCTTATCAGGAGGTACCCATGTTCTCGGTCTCCCTGAGTCCCCGACGTACGAGCCAGCCTAAGAATCGAAGCAAACAAAGTACGCAGAAGCTGTTCTTTACGGCCTTTCTAATCTTAGAAACAAATCTCACGAATATTTGGAGTGATTCAGCGTTCCTTGTTTGCTTGCACAGCGTAATAAGGACGTCAGTAATCCCAGCAGAAGGAATGGGACAAACCTGAGCATATTGGTAAACGCATCGGGTGTAACATCCGGAATGTCGATAGCTCCTGCCGTGTTCTCCGGCAAACTGCCTTAGAACATGGCACGAAACACGGAGCTACGCAGACACAGGACAAACCTACACAACAAATAACATGGCCATGTTGTATATAATTATGTACTTACGCAACTATGAGCATGTTGTTGGTGGGTGTAGCTAACAGCCTAATAGTAAGTAACACAGCTAAAAGTCAGCATGGCTCGTGCTGTGCACGACTATCTTGTGAACATGATAAACTTTGGCTGGTCCGAACTGTCGACCCACTGCAAACTGGGCGTAACTGAATTCTCCACTGACCAGCCATCGCTTCAGCCTGTCGACGAGCCCAAGCCCTGGTTGTTCCGGAGCAGTGGACGTTGACGGAGTCAGAGACATGGTTCCTCAAGTTATGCTGTCGATGATGGTTCGCGCTCTGCTTATGCGTTGGTGCCCGAACGATTTCGTAGATTTCTATAAACATGCGTCAGCGGGCCAGCAGCACAATCAGATTTCACATTAAGACTCGCAGCGAACGAAATGTTCCAACAAACTTACTGCATCTGGTAACTTTAAAAAGGATACTAAATACTTACTGTTAGAACCTTCAATAGCATTAGCGACTCAGCTAATATAAAACGCCACTGATCTAAATGTTCACGCGAAGCCTTTAATTGGCGGTTGTCTTGCGACATGGTATTCACTCTTTGTTGCTGTCGGCACTTCCGTTCTAACGGCTCAGTGGGAAGGTCGGCTCGGCGACAGAGTGCTGTATCCATTTCTCCGACCATGCTGTTCGTGGCACGAGAACGGAATTCGTAAACCCGTACAGGTACATGTGAAAATCTGGTGAAACACTTACAATCCCGTCACTACTCTAGTAATTTTGTGAAAACCGACAAGATAAGCCTGTGTATAACCTTTAAAATGATCGTATAATTATTATATAGACCCCTTTCACTGGCATAAGAAATTCACAATCACAATCTGCGCAATACACACCGATGACTGACAGCCTGCATTATGCCGTATTTTTGACTGCTTTCCATGTCTCGACATGTTTATTGACAATCATCCCGGAATCGCACTGCATGTTTTTGACCGGAAATATAGAAAAATTGTAACAAATATAGCGGAAAGGTCGAGGACGGTACACCGGCGAGCTGATTCTGCCGTAGCCTACCTGCAAGAACCACATCATGTCTACACAAATTTAAGTGGTTTTGACCGAGAATGTCCCACAAACAACTAGGATACCTTCGTAGCGTTGCATTCCATAAAATACTACGTCACTAATGTGCTGAGCGTAATCACTCTTTGAAGAGGTACCTCTTCAACGAGTGATTACGCTCAGCACATTTGCAGATGTTGTTAGATAAACAATCAAATACCGGTGTTTAATTGTTCATCTAACAAACATCTACAAACATCTACGAGTGATGATCCTCTCGAAATTAATTTAATTTAATTCTTCTCGAGTTTTCCTCTAATTTGTCCGGCGCAGTACAGCGTTTGCACAACATTATCTGTCACCCAGGTAGCTGCGGCATTAGTCTATATATGTACATCGTTGAAAATTAATTATATAAATCAATTTTATTCGACAACAGCCAGTGCATATAATATTGTGCCTGTGCGGGTTTACACTAATAAAAAATTTCAAATTTTAAGCATTGAAAAAACAACCAAAATCATCCGAGTCTTTCATGAGTTTAGAACGTGCGTTAAATGTACCCAGAACAGCAGCTGCATTTCCTCTTACTACCGCTAGACGTAAACGTTGTCTCAAAAATTGGACTTTTGGATTGCCTTTCGCCGAGCTAATCCGTTTGTCGGCCGCAAGATCCGTGATATTACCAGGGAGCTTCGATCTACAGCCTTTTTGAGACAACGTTTAAGTCTAGCGGTTTGAAGTTAATTATATGTACATAGCTGAAAATTAAATATGATGCCGGGGTAAAATGCATAACACCAGCCAGGCTGCAGACTATTGAAGGATTTCTAACCACAAACGGGAACTGACTAAATAATCAAAAGGGAATATAAGCAAAGTAACCAAGCCATACATAGTGTACCGAATATTGCCTGTAAGGTCAAATTCCTGACCGCAGTCTCGGCCCCACCGGTAAATATAATATCCCAAGCGGATGTTCAACTTCGCCAGTTGGTGGCCCGCAACGGGTACGGATCGATATCAGCGGCACTTGCAAACCGGTGTCGATGACCTATACGACAACCTTGGCCAGCAGCAACACCAGGCGCGCCGCGCACTCACCTACGAGATATAAGCGGACGGATAGGATCAGGACACGATCAAGCGTCACGCCAGCTCAGATATCGTTTGGACTGGGACCTTATCATCCGGCGAGACGGTGTTATGCGCTGTGTTGGTAGCGGAATCCTCTTGTCAGAGGCGACATCGTCACATTTTGTCATATGTGCCGCGCTTTCAGTCGACCGTGAGCGCAACACAAACCCGAAAATGATTCCGGATATCGGAGAACAAAAAAAGGCGCTGATTTAGGCTTACAAGTTAGTTAAGTGCTCCGTGTGATTGCCGTCAGCGTCCGGCGCATTTGGTCTTGGGAACAGGCATAGAAGTATGGTTAAATCCGGCGCGGGCATCGTGTTAAACCATAAGGTCATACTTCAGCCGGGTGACAACAGCAAATATATCGGGTTTACTGAGCCATGTCATCCCTTTTTACAAGATTTACCTTCTACTTTGACTAAGGAAACTAGACACGCTGTGCTATGCACAAAAACTCCCATAAGGGTATAGCGCAACGCTTAGTTAGCACAGTGTCGCACTTCCGGCAAACGATCCGAAGAATCCACATTCAAGCAACTGGGAAACGATTTTATTAATAATATAGTATTTCATTAAGCAATGCTTGGTAAGTAGGAACAACGCTGGTTTTAATATTCAGTTCCGTTTTGCGAGTCATCAAAGCAAACAGCAATGGGGAAAGAAGGCATACATAACCACAAAGGTTTTGCCGGAATCCGGGCCGAATAACCTATCCCATATTTGCATTTCCAGAGTACCTATTTCCTAAAACAGCCAGCAGAAAGCTTTGACTGCGAAGTGGCGGAAGCGGAACCCAAACAAACCAACCTTTGTGCTGCTACACTTTTGTTTTCGACGTTAGCATTCGTCATCACTTGCCAGATTCTGCTAGGCCTGATTCCGAGCTTTTGTTAAGTAGTGTCATTTTCATCTGGACTTGATGGAAGCGCAGCAGCATGACCTTTTATTTTTCTAGACCGCGACTAGAAAATTCCTACACTGTATTACACGGTTAGATTTGTCCAAATTAAAGCATTACTTGTTCCGACAGTACTCTGTAATATTAATTTACGTTGATAAATAACCATTTTGCGGTCGTTGCCAACTATGCTGTCCCAGGTTGCTAGTGTTATACTCGTTGCTATGGCGGTCATCTGTGGCTTTTTCGTGGGTATAGAAATTGCGCAGTTGGCCATTGTGGGTTTTATGCCTGCACATTATCCAAAAGCTGGGCCAATTGTATATTTTCTGAGAGCAGCTGAAACAACCTTTTATTTGATTTATGCCACTTTGGATTGTCTGCTGACAAGTCACTTATTGTACACCGATAAGATGGGCAGACTTATTCGAGAATTCCACCGTTCTGCGGGCAGACGAAACCTTTCATGGCGCCATCGACGGGTGAGTCTCGGATGTTGGATAATGGGTATGGTAACATACACCGTCTACTATGCCAACAGACTGCACGCACACGTCATTATGAGTGACGATGAGATTATCACAATCACCGTCCTGGAGCTCCGTGCAAAACCGGTGTTGATCACCTACGTCACCATCATGTATGTGACTGCATTGTACATGAGTTGGGAGATTTCTCTGTTTTCCCGTTTTCTACCGTTATTGCTGGCAGTCCTTGAAAGACACCGCAATTTTATGATCAGACTGAAAACCGCCGTCGACACCGATTTACAGGCGGCCAGCTGGCTTCCTCGCAGCATTCCGTTAATACAAACGAAACTGGATGCCCGAGGCAAGTTATTTGATGACCTTTGCGAATGTTTTCGCGTGAAGATCCTGTTGTGGACGAGCACCATTTTCTTGATTCTTAACAGTCATGTTGCTCAGTTCTTCGTTACTGATTTCGAAACCACCCGGGATCAGTTGGCGTTTATCCTAGCGCCAATTTCGTTTGCATTCACTTTTGGTGGACCTTTTATTTTAATATTAAGGATCCAAGACGAGGTACATGCTGCCAAATTTGTTTTCCAGTCTTCTGCTAGATCGAACTCAACTATCATACGTTATACGAGCATGATACTACATAGGAACTCTGTTTCGAAATTGATAACGTATTAATAATAAGTGGTTTAATGTCCTTAGCTACGAGACGTCGCCTCCTTTTAGGCTAGGACAGGGAATCATGAAGAAGAAATAACAAAAAAAACATGACATTGGGAAAGGAAACAATAGTTAAATTACCAGAACAAGATTGTATTTGCAGTTACATTCACAAGTTGTCATCGGCAGTTTTGCGACAGTAATTTTACATTAGGGATACGTTTCCGGTTTCTCAAGAAAGCTAAACTTTAGGGACAAACAAAGGATGATTTTTTGATCGAAGGAAGGTTTATCAAATCAATTCGATCTAGTGCACTGTGGAAAGTGCCAACAGACAGATAGGCTTCAACGGGAAGGAAAATCTCGTTCCAGATAGCAGTTAGCTGATCCAGGTGCGATCCATGGACGGCAGTCACTGTTGTGCCACATATCGTCGTTGGAGCCGGCGCAATCGGGAATGGATGTTGATTTAGGCGACCACATTGCCGAGTGTTACCTGCAATAGATTCAAGCGCAGCAGCCGAACTATTCAGACTTACGATACAAAGGTCACCTAATGGCACTTTGCAGAATTTTAACTTGTAAATAAACATCAGCGCTTTTTTGATGCGTCGAAGTTTTAGACTGTCCCATTTCAGCTCTTTCAAACGGTTTTCATACTGCAAAGGGTCGCTACCGAGGCGCAAAGTTTTACAAATCTACACTGACATTTTCGATGATTTCGCTAGATTTTTTAAGCACTGGATGTACGCAAGATGCACAATAATCAACAGCTGATAAAACCAAAGATTCAAACAATTTCATTCTTGCACCAGAGTGCAGGTACTTAAATAACCGATTTATGCAGCCTAACCGTCTGGTACATTTCAACAAAAGTTTTTCACTGTTTTCCTTCCAACTCAGTTTCCGGTCGACTTGAACGCCTAGATACTTAACGACATCGTTAGTTGGTATGTCACTACCATTAATACGGTACTTGT